GTGACAAAGGCTGGAGATCAGCGGTGACAACGTGAGACCGCAGCTGTGTGGAGGAATCTAAAGAAGGAAGGACTGACGATTTGGCCCAGGGGTCTCAAACTAGGGGGCTACCAGTGCCATCAGTGTCTCATTGTTAGTTTATTTGAAGTCCTGTTTACCAGCGGTCCCCAAGAACCGGTCGGCCGGTACCAGCAGTTACTGTGGACCGGTGATACCGCACCAGCGTTGAAGAATCGTTAAATTAAAAAAAAAAAAAACATCTTTTTTATTCTGTTAGTATCAGAGTCTGAATGACCTTTGACCTGTTGTTTTTGACAGATTATCTTTGAATGAAAAGAGTAAAGGGATAAGACAGGATTCTTTTGAAATGAAGTAAATTAGTAAAACTGAAGTACATTTTTTTCACTACGGCCCAGTAACAAATGACCTACGGACTGGCACCAGTCCCCGGACCGGGGGTTGGGGACATATTCTTTTATTACTAGAACAAAAACGTTGCCAAAACAGTTCTCGTCTCAAATCTCAGAACATCTCAGTAAAGAACTGCAGTACAATTGAAATCCAGTGTGGGCCACATGTGGGAGGTTCAAGGGCTGGAGGTGGCCCACGAGCCAGGAGTTTGAGACCCCTGATTTTACCCATTGCTGGTGTTGAAAATTAAAGTTTGTTTACGATCAGAGGGTGAAGTTTTCTGTTGATAAAATAATCTAGCTCAGACATGGGCAAACTACGCCCCGTGGTCCAGATACGGCCCACTGGGCTTTTCTAATCTGGTCGGCCAAACACTGGTACAGGGTTTGGTAAAGACTGATTACAAATGTCCCTGTAAGTTTTAGGTTTAATCTTGAACAACTTCCTACTAAAGTTCTCGACTTTCAGGTCAGTTTTTATATTAAAAAAAAATGTTCTTATCGTACGATACGGTTTTTATATTAAAAAAAAATGTTCTTACGATACAATACGCAAAGTGACACCAAATTCTCTGATAGTATTTTTTTTTTCTTAAACCCAGAAACAGAGACACTGAGCTGCTGTAACTCGACCTCAAATATTGACAGGTCCAAAAACGACCAACAACATCATCTTAAAGGGTTTGGACTAAACCTCGTACTAAAAACTGTCCCTCAGATCCTGTCCGTCCCAGTGAGAAGCTCAGCATCTTCATCTTCATCTTCGTTCTTGTCTTTGTCTCCTCCTCAGACCGCGTCACCGTCTGTGAACCAGACGTCACAGCACATCTCACTACCTGAAACCTGACCTTTGACCTCTCCTGCTGCTCTCAGAACCTGACGCCGTCTGTGGTCACCGACTGGAACTCGCTGATGCTGATTTACTGTATACGACGGCAAAGTCTACAAATAGGGACGTACGCAGAGGCGAAGCAGGAAGCTAACTCTGTGACACATCCACCAGCTGCTGACTGCACTGAGTGTTTTCCACCCCCCCTCCTCACCCTCCTCACCCTCCTCACCCCTGTGAGGAAGGAGCTTTCGGCTGAAGTTAAATGAATAAAAAATCAATGTCCAGATGAGAACCTGTGCTGAAACAATTATTATTTATCACTGACGGACGAACGGATAATTAGGACGGTCGACTGACGGACGTCACTGGATCTTTGTAGAAACTGGACGGGGTCGCAGCCCTTTTTGATCTGAACTATTCTCTCCTGAACTAACGACCAATCAAACTCGGACTTTCATTCACTCATCGTTTTGGTCTGGAGCCAATCACAGGGGTCAAAGAGCACGACCATGACCCTGGTCAGTCGTCATCAACCATACAGTCAGTGTGGAGTAAAGAGTGTGTTTGGATTAAGGTATAAACACACACACACACACACACACGAAGGGTGAATATCCAAACAGAAAGACCACCGGGCATCAAACCTCTGACCTTCTTGCTGTAAGGCAGGTACTAATCACTCCTCTACCGCCTGACCCATGAGGTGGAGTTGGAAACAGACTACAGCTGATAGGTGTGTGTTGTTATGAATACAGTGAGTTCACACACACACACACCCTCCCACCTCCACCCCCTCCACCACTGAGTCAGTACTGACCCAGTACTGACCCAGCAGATGCCGAGCCACCGCTGTGGACCAGGATGACAATGCACCTGCAAGAACTCACAATGACCACAGGAGGAACCCTTCATCCGAGCCGACGTGCGCGCTGCTCTGAGCCGATGCGTCGTCATCAGCGGTCGGTAACTGCTGAGGCTGGACAGCCTCGCCCCTCCATCCACCACACACACACACACACACACACACTCTCTCTCCCACCTCCACCCCCTCCACCACTGAGTCAGTACTGACCCAGTACTGACCCAGCAGATGCCGAGCCCCCGCGGTGGACCAGGATGACAATGCCCCTGCAAGAACTCACAATGACCACAGGAGGAACCCTTCATCCGAGCCGACGTGCGCGCTGCTCTGAGCCGATGCGTCGTCATCAGCGGTCGGTATCTGCTGAGGCTGGGCAGCCTCGCCCCTCCATCCCCCACACACACACACACACACACTCTCTCTCCCACCTCCACCCCCTCCACCACTGAGTCAGTACTGACCCAGTACTGACCCAGCAGATTCCGACCCACCGCTGTGGACCAGGATGACAATGCACCTGCAAGAACTCACAATGACCACAGGAGGAACCCTTCATCCGAGCCGACGTGCGCGCTGCTCTGAGCCGATGCGTCGTCATCAGCGGTCGGTATCTGCTGAGGCTGGACAGCCTCGCCCCTCCATCCACCACACACACACACACACACACTCTCTCTCCCACCTCCACCCCCTCCACCACTGAGTCAGTACTGACCCAGTACTGACCCAGCAGATGCCGAGCCACCGCTGTGGACCAGGATGACAATGCACCTGCAAGAACCCACAATGACCACAGGAGGAACCCTTCATCCGAGCCGACGTGCGCGCTGCTCTGAGCCGATGCGTCGTCATCAGCGGTCGGTAACTGCTGAGGCTGGACAGCCTCGCCCCTCCCTCCACCACACACACACACACACACACACTCACTCACACTCACCACACCGATCCATAGGCTCCCGATCCCACCGGCGTCAGGTTCTGGTACCGCTCCGGTACCTCCCACACAGTCTTGTTGAGCTCCTGTCGGTAAAATCCGGGTCTAGCAGACATTTCTACACAGACGGTGAAAGAAATGAAGTGAAGGATTGTGGGACACGGCTACGGTAATTAGGACCAACGGGGTGGGCCGCTGCCTATTCTGACGAGAGACACTGCTGCTGCACACCACCCCGGGCCACTGACAGCCAGGCTCTCTCTCTCTCTCTCTCGCTCTCTCTCTCCTCCTCCCTCACCCTCTCCCTCCCTCCCTCGCTCCCCTGTTCTTCCCTTTAAAAAAGTATATATATATATATATACACGTATTTGCCTACGTTTTTTTTATTTGAACAGATAGTTTCATGCATGTCATTTGTGAATCCTGTTGCTTTTTTTTTTTTTACAAATGCAGATTCAACGCCCCCTGTCTTCACGTTATTGACATTTACTAACCAACAATAATATAATAATTTTATAATTCCTAACTCTATTTCTAAACCTCGATGTTTCGTGTGTGGTCTATAGATAAAAGTTATAATTCATTTTTGAAGCTTTTTGATTTGAGGATATTACGTTCTCTTAATTCTGGGCATGCAATATTACTTTTTGTCCACTTGATGTCGCCAAAGTATTGGCGCCAAAAGACCTTTTGCCTTTTCATTGGTTCAAGTTGTTCAGTGTTGCTTTAACAGCTGTGCACTGATTGAGGAGGGCGTTAGTGACACGTGAAGCGGCGTAGCACCGGACAGTCGCTGTGTTCGTCGGTTTGTTTTCGTCGGTGAACAATGTTCGACCTGAAGAAGAGGAACAGTCTGACCCTGAACAGCAGCAAAGAGGTGGAGGAGTTCAGGAGAGTAGCGGTCAGACGGAAAGCTAAAGCTGCCGAGGTGGAGTGTGTCTCACAAACAGGTGAAGCCATCACAAGGACCGGGGCTTCGGTTTGCTGCTGCTAATGCCGGGCACCGAGATGCTAGGTTTTTACCAAAACATTAACGGGAAACACGAATTTGTTACATTAGCTCCGACTGCTTTAGTTGTAGATCAAATGGCAGAGATGCTGAAAAGGTGAAGGTCTAGAAGACTCCGCCCATCGACACGATATCAATAACAATACTCGATACTTCCTATATCGATATTTCGGTTCATCAGTTCGTGAGTACCTTTTGGACGGTGAAACATAAATTCAACATAATAGAATATGAAAGTCTGGAGTTTCAAATAATTTTTAAATCATTAGGAGTGATTAAAAAATACAAAGAAATTAAAATGGCTATCAAACAGTTTATTTTCAGTTTGATTAATCGCATGTTAGCTGTGGTGGCGGTCGTGATTAATCATAATTGTTATCACAATCATGTTTATTTAGAGGTAACAGATTTTATTTGTAAATTGTCAAAATGATGACATTCATATGGAGAAATATCAAGAAAAACATGTATGTATATATATGATGTATGAATATATGTATATATGATTATATATATATATAGAAAAAAACATTTTGCTTCCACCATCTGACTAAAAACAATACTTTTTTCTTATGAATTTAAACGATTAATTTGGACGGCTCCAACTGCTAACTAAGTTCATATATGGCAACGATAAACGATTAACTCCAGGCCAAGTTACTGGTTAACAGTTTGGACCCTGGTGTATTTTAGACTTTAATTGATTCAGTATTTGATCAGTCAATAAACAACTGTTTACTGGTGTTCAAAGTCCTAAAATACCTCTCTTCGTTCAAATGTAAATATTTGAAGTCAGGAAACCGTAAAGCTGTGGAGCGTGGACAAAACAATGCACGTGAGGGATTAATCACATGACGGGTTAATCAGTAGTGTACATGGACAAAACAATGCACGTGAGGGATTATTCACGTGACGGGTTAATCAACTAAAATCAATAGTGTACAGTCCTCGTGTGTGTGTGTGCATTCTCTCACCTAACCTGTAGGGTGAGGCGCTATCTCTGAGAGACGATCAATGTGGCATCAAAGGTTACGAGTCTATGAAGAAGAAGAAAAAAAAACAGAATTGTGAAAGGAGAAGTTCTGCGCTGTTGAGAAAGTGGCCACACAGAGTTGTCCACGTGACACACACACACACACACACTTGTCTAAACTTCAGAAGAACTCGGTTACACGACAGGCTGTGGCCGAAAAACGTAACCTGCAGGTAAGATAAGCTGTGGTGACGCGACGACCTGAATAATGCATCACAGCGGGGAAACGTGGCGTTAAAGTTGATTTGATTTGATTTATTTTTGTCAAGTTAAGTCGTTGATGAATTTTTTCACGTGTGTTGAGTGACAACTTAGTCACAGCTGGGTTTCTTTTTTTAAAACGGAAGGTTTTCCAGAAAGTACTAGAAGAAAAATGTGCCTGAATTTACGAAAACATGCCTTTTTTTTTTGTTTATTTTTTTAAAGGTTTATTGCCACAAACATTAGCATGTGGTCCAAGTATGAATTCCAAATTATTGTCAATCCACAAATATTTAAATACTGTTAATTTAAATGTCATGTCAAATATCTTGACAGTCGATTGAATCAGAAGTTTATTTTTTGTTTTTGTATTTTTCCTACCAGTGAGCAGTGGGGTTGACGGCACATACAGCTGCATCCACGCTTGTGATCGAGTCTGTGGCTCCGAACTCCTGTGTGAGAAAGACGACAAGAAGAGTCCGCCTCAACAGTTTCCTTACAAACCTCAAGGTGGCGCTGAAAAAACACAAGGTATAAAATACAACTTGAACAAAATTAATTCTCCCGTGCTGCTGTTTAATTACATCACATATACAGTATGTATATATGTGTATATATGTATGTGTGTATGTATATATGTGTGTATATATATATATAAATATATGTATATTTATACATGTATTTATATATATGTGTATATGTATGTATGTATATATGTATATATATGTATGTATGTATATATTTGTATATATGTATATATATGTATATATATGTATGTATATATGTATGTATGTATGTATATATATTTCAGCCTAACTTGCCTCTCATCTCTGGGCAGCACTTCCTAAACCGTCCGACCCCCAGAGTCCAGGTCTCAGTCCGACGTCGGTGAAAACTCCTCGACACGTTGAAGATGACCACAGTCCAAACAGACACTCTGCTCTTTCTGTTTGTATCAATGCAGCGAATAAGTGTTTAATTTCCCCACAAGGGGGCAGCTGTGTTTCTAATGGAGTATTTTTAGCACAAAACCTTACCAGCAGCCCCATATCAGGAGTTCAGAGTCCAGGAAAGAGGGGTTTTCAGTACTGTAGCCCCCTCAAGGAGGGAGGACCCAGCCCGGCCAAGTTGTCCCCGAGGAGCCATAATCTCCTGTCGGGGAAACTCCGCACCCCGAGTCCGGTCCAGGGGAGGATCGGAAGCTACAGCCCCAGCAGGAAGTCTAGATCCTGGTTAGGACTTAACCGAATTTCAAGTGGGAAGATGGAAGAAAACAGGAAGAAGTCTATAAGTGTGCCTGACCTGATTGTGTACCTGGACGACAGCAGGTAGGATTGGATTATTGAAGTAAAAATGACAAATTCAGAGACATACATTTCAAATATCCATGTGTTTCTACCTGTAGGATTCCCAGTGAAAATCTGCGCTCCTCTCCTCAGACACTTCTGGAATCTTCTAACAGCAGTGGACCGGCCATCACCATAAACCTAGCCGCGAAACACAAACTGAATCAAACCACCGACGAAGGCCGTCTGTCGACCAATGGTGTAGAGCGGTGCAGAGAGTGGCCTCTGACGTCTGGGAAAAGAGCGATGGACCAGGAGGGAACAGGCAAAGAACCAGCAGGAAATCTTGCCAAGGTTTCCTGTCACTGGGCTGATTCTCCTCTAGAGGGCGGTATCATCGACAAAGATCTCGTCGCTGATCAAAAAGACAAGGAAAAGATGGAGGAGAGCGCAGAAGTCCAGCCTAAAGACGATGAGAACGTCGAGCAGAAGTTGTTCAGGATAGCCACGGAACTGCTGCACACCGAGAAGGCCTACGTAGCACGGCTCCATCTGCTGGACCAGGTCAGAGCTGCCACGACTTTGTGCTATTTTTGAAAATATAAAGATCTGCTCAGGGATGAAACCGTGTTAATTCCTCTGAATATCGACACAGGTTTTCTGCCAACGCCTGACGGAGGAAGCAGGTCGAGGCTCATTTCCTGCCGAGGTGATAAAAAATATTTTCTCCAACATTTCCTCCATCTACTCCTTCCATAGTCAGTTCGTGCTGCCTGATCTGGAGAACTGCCTCAGGCATTGGTTAGTGCACACAAACACAAACAGACACGTCTCAAAATGCTCAAAATATTATTGCAAACAGTATGCAAGATAAATCTGCCTGTCTGCCTCAGGCATTGGTTAGTGCACACACACACAAACACAAATAGATTTTTTTACATCTCAAAATGCTCAAAATATTACTGCAAACAGTATGCAACATAAATCTGCCTGGTTTTTGCCTCCTTTACATTTATATATTGCTACATACATTTGCATGCTCACCTTATGGTTAACATAATTGTTAAACACTACATCCACTAGTGGGCAGTGCACAACACTGCCCCCACTATTTCCTGTGGAAAGTAGAAGAACTTGATATACGTACAGTATATTGGAGTATTTGCTGTATGTTTCAAAATGACCAGACTTCAAAGAAAACACACTTCAAAATTAGAGTCATACTACTTAGAAATACTGCAGTACTCTGTGAACTGATGAGAGAGTAAATGAGGTAGTACTAGATGGTGTCAGAAATACATAAATAAAACATTTCACACCGTGAAGTACAGTTATGTCTCCTTTTATATTTTGATACCTTTTTTTTTCCACCTTTTCTCCGACCCTAAGGTCAGAGCGACCAGGCCTGGGTCACGTCCTGGTCCAGCACGCCCCCTTCCTCAGGATGTATGCTGACTATGTCAGAAACTTCGACCAGGCCATGGAGCTGGTGAGGACCTGGACCGAGCGCTCCGCCGCGTTCAGAAACGTCATCCTGGACGTCCAGGTGAGGCGCCGTCGCCGCTTTATTTACCGTTGTTTGTTTTCAATGCACCAAAGCAGTGGTTCCCAACCTTTTTTTTTGTACCCAGGACCGGTCGGCCGGTACCGACCGTTCCTGCAGAGCAGTTGTTGAATTATCAATAAGGATCATTAAATTTTCAAAATAAAACATTTTTTTAGACTTCTGTTAATATTGCAGTCTTAATTACTTTTCACAATATCTTTTAATGACGAAAGTAATACTGAGTGGATACTGATTTTCTTTGAATTAAGTAAATTAGTAAAAATAAATAAACTGTTTCCCACTGTGGTCCAGTACCAATTTATCTACAGACCTGTACTGGTCTGTGGATCCCTGCACTAAAGCAGTGGTTCTCAAAGTAGGGGGCACTAGGGCAAAAATATGCAAAAACATCTTTCTTCAATTCCTGTAGTAGTACTTCCAGTGTTGTGTTCAACTAAACAGATCCAGGAGTGAACTGAAACTACAGGATTTTTTTTTTTGTTTTTTTTAAACCTTTCTGTCCTGTGTTCAGTGCTGCCCTCTGCTGCCGACACAGTATAATGGATGTACTGCTCTGCTGTGTTCTCAGAGTCAGGAGGTGTGTGGCAGCCTCACCCTACAACATCACATGTTGGAGCCCATCCAGAGGCTCCCACGTTATGAGATGCTGCTGAGGGACTACCTCAGAAGACTGCCCCAGGAGAACCCCGACTACGAGCTAGCACACAGTAGGTACCCGGTACCAGAACTTCATCTTCTTCATCTTCATCGACTCGTTGGTCTCTGAAAGATCATCATGGCTGACGACACCCTGCTTTTGTCCCCCTTTGCCCAGAGTCCTTGGAGGCCATTTCCATGGCGGCCACCCACTCAAACAGCGCCATCCACAAAGCTGTACGTTACTACATCAACAATTATTAGTTAAATTTATTACTGCGGTCAATATTATAGAAATAAAATAATACACAAGTTCATTAACTTAAAAAATGGATTAGCTGTGGATTAATTGAGATGAATAAGGAGTAATTCAGATAAAATGTTTCTTAAAAAAAAAATTAATATTTTTTTCAGGTTTTTTCAAAACGTTTCAGGTGAAATGTTTCAGGAAATGTTTATGTATATTTTTTTCCCCCCATGTCCCTTCAGAGGACTTCAGTGTGTATCGTTAGACACACATCAGTCGTCAGCTGACGTCTTGACTCCTCGTGTGTTTCCCTGCAGGAGAACAGGAAACGCCTTCTGGAAATCTATGAGATGGTCGGAGAGGAGGAAGTGGTCAATCCGACCAATGAGCTGCTTCGAGAAGGTCGTCTCGTTAAGCTCGCCGCCAGGAACACGTCTGCGATGGAGAGACACCTGTTCTTAGTCAGTGCTGGTGTCAATTCTGAGATAAATATATACACATATATATGTATATGTATATATATGCTTATATACATATATTAGCTTATATGTATGTATATCTATATATGTTTTTATACATATTAGTATATATGTATGTATATCTATATATGTTTTTATACATATTAGTATATATGTATGTATATCTATATATATGTTTATATACATATATGAGTATATATGTATGTATATCTATATGTATATATGTTTATATACTTATATGAGTATATATGTGTGTATATCTATATAGGTATATATGTTTATACATGTATGAGTGTGAGACAGGACACTTTTGTCCACAGTTCAACAACTTCCTGCTGTGCTGCACGCCGAGGTTCTGTCTGGTCGGGCAGCGTTTCACCGTGCGCTGCAGAATCGGCGTGGACGGCATGCACGTGCAGCAAACCAACAACGAAGACCACCCGTTCACGTTTCAGGTCTCGGGAAAGGAGAAGACCCTGGAGCTGCAGGCCAGGTCTTTTTAAACTCCATGTATTTTATATATTGGCTCTGACGTCTTCATCTGTCAGTAAGATTTCCTACATCTTAGATTTTCATTTTTGACTTTTTTTTTATTTTTTTATTTAAGCTCTGAACAAGACCGTGACGAGTGGATTAAGGTACCAGGGAAGATTCTGCTGTTTGGTCCGGTGGATCATTCATTCGTTACATGGAATGGAATATGAGATGAAATAGTGCTGAGTCATGTTCTGTCCCACGTCCAGGTGTTTCAGGAAGCCATCGATCTGTTTCAGAAGAAAAATGAAACCTTCAGGTTGGCAGCCAAGGAGTTTGCTGTAGAAGAACCAGTGAGTACTTTACTAGACGAACAAAGTTACTTTAATGTACGGCTTTTCGCGTACCAAGAGTACAAATCACGCGTATTAAAATACAGCAACACGGAACGACAATGTTCAGTTAATCGGATTATTAAGATAAATATCCACAAAGGCCACTGTGTGAGATTATATAACAGTTCACCTGCGTCTTCATCAGACTTCTAACAATCTACGGCCCTGAAATGACCCCCATAATTCAACGCAGGCGTGACGTCACGCGGTGTGTTTACGGAAGTAAATATGGCCGCTATACCTGACGGCGAGTTAGATCAGTTTGGAAGTAGTTGTACTGTCGATGTCGGTCAGTTTGATCACGTTGCCGAAATAAAAAAACAAAAACAGAGAGACTCGTTTTTCGTTCCCGGCATTTGAGGTTATGCCACCGTTGTTGTTATCCCAAGTCCGGGGAGCGAGTAGAACTCAGACTATCTTGTCCGTTCCCCGCTCGCTTGTGTTCGTCCATTATTTATATTTTATCTTTCGTTCACAGTGTCATAAAAATATGGATCATATATGGGAAAACATTAATGGATTCTGTTCACGCTTGCCTGCTGTATTATCGTAGTTTAGGTAAATCCCCATAACCGAAGGGGAAGCACATTTCTGCCTTTGCCACTAGAGGGAGCCAAATACGGTTTCCGATGCGCTGTTCAGAGTTTTAAAGTTTAAAGTTGGCCTCTCTGGTGTCGCGTTTGTTGCAGCTCGGGGAACTTGGGAGACGAGCCCCTCGCTGGATTAGAGATAACGAAGTGACGGTGTGTATGAAGTGTCGGGAGCCTTTCAACGCCCTCACGAGGAGACGACATCACTGCCGAGCCTGTGGCTGCGTGAGTGAGACAGGAGGCTTTTCTACTTCCCGTCATTTAAAGAAAAAGAAAAGACGATTATAATAGTGTTGTTTTCTAGGTGGTGTGCTGGAAGTGTTCAGACAACAAAGTGGCGTTACAGTATGACGGTAATAAGATGAATAAAGTGTGTAAGGCCTGTTACTCTGTGCTCACTGGTCAGAGTGGGGACAGCGTGGAAAGAAGAACACAGGAGGTGAGCCTGGATATAATTTTTTTAATAACATCTTTGCCTTTTGTCCTGTTTTACATTCCGAAAATCCTAAAACTAATTTGGTTATTCTTTGGATTCTTTAGTGTGATTGATTTATATTACAGTGCAGTACTGTGCATATATTTCAGCCATACATTTACTTCACATTCTTCTTCCAGTCTGAAGAATCCTCAGTGTCTGGTGATGTTCTTGTGAGTGGTTTCCTGGATCACGCCGAGGCCGACAGCCCTGAGAACTGGCAGCAGGTCTGGACTGTTCTGACAAAGACTGAGCCCCCGGTGGTTCACCTGTACACTACACCACAGGTATGGATAATGGATTTGTGTAAGTTGACCTGTAGTCATAGGATGTTGGCATCAGTTTAGAGCAGTTATCATCAACTGGCGGCCCACGGGCCAAATCTGGCCTGCTGGACCATCCAGTCCGGCACACGACTGGATTCTAAATAAACATCAAATACTGATGTTAGATAAAAAACATTATTTTTATTTCATTTCATCAGAGCGTCTAGAGCCCGTACTGCAGTTGGTGAACCCTGGTCTGGACACTGTTCTTTATTTTTAACCCATGAAGTTTTACTAATATTTTAAACAAAAACAGTTACTTACAATTTTCAAACTTTAAGGATATCTTGGGTCATTATCTGTCAAATATTTTAGTCTTTTCACTTGTCATTTCCTGTTATAAATCAAGATGTTTTTGTTTCAGATTTAGTTGCAAACGTTGACCCTTTACACCTGAAAGTTCACAAATAAACAAACTGCATCTGTTTAATTCACCTTTATGTTTCCAGGATGCTCTGCCGCGGCTCAGAATACCTCTGACGGGCTGCAGTGTGGAGGACTCCTGCGAGGAGCTGCAGGGTCAGCCGTGTTTCAGGTTAGAACTTCCTAAAACCTGTCACGTGTTCTCCTGCGACAGTGTGGACCTGAAGCAGCGGTGGCTGACCGCTCTGACCGTCGCAGTCACTGATAGGCCGCCCGCCTGCCCATCGATTGGCTCCAGTGGTGAGGAATTAATTTTCAGTGGTAACAAGGAAAACCACTCCTGAACAATGAGCTGCTGTGTTGATTTTAAAACATTGGGTTTTTAAATGACTGAAATGCAAATATGACATTCAGAAGTGAGAAGGGATTTCTCCAAAGTGGCTGTGCACTTTATTTCAGAAATGAGTTACAGTAAAATAAATAAAAGTGAAAGTTGTTTTTTTTAAAACGTGTGTTTGACTACATTTTCAACTACAAGAGTGTGCACTCTGTACATGTGGAAGGTGCTGTGTGAAATGAGATGAAAAAGTATTTCAAGATACAGAAGTGAACATGTCTTATGGATTTCAGGGACTGGCATTGAAAACAGAACAATTCCTTTTAAAAAAACAAATCATCAGATCCAGTATTTGCACATATGAATACAGCATTAAATATTTACACTGATACATAAACATTAAAACAATATTTAATCAATTACTAAAATAAAATGATATAGGAATTTACTTATACCTGTTTCAAATGGGGTAATTAAAAAAAACATTTAAACATTTCATAAATGACCTATAACGTAACGGTAAAGTTTTCTTTCTTCCTTTACTCCAGCAAAAATACAATTCGCTGTAATTTAAAGCCTTATGTCCTCCTTGTGGTCAAAATAATTATTGCACAATTGAAATGTAATTATATATTGTGGAATTGCGAAGAAACGACTTCGATCATAAACTTCACATTTATACCTTTTTACCAACAGAACCTGACCCGTCTTGTGGTTGTTCTATTCCACTAAAAATGGTTGGAAAAAAATATGGCGTAGTTTTTAAATCTTCTCCCTGAACTCTATTATTTCATATGTTCTAAGTACAGTATTTTAAAAGCTGCAATATTTTTAAATTATTTAAATAATTGAAATATCTGCTTTTCATGTACATTTTCGTCCTCTCTACGGTAGCAAGTCAGGATGTATTGAACGTTTGCTGTTTTTCTTTTTTTATTAACGTCATTTCGTTTTCTTCATCACGGATGCAGTTTGTTATTTATACAGACATTAAGTGTCCCGGATGTTGTCGAAGATGACGGCAGTTAACGCCAGCAAAATAATTAACATATCCTCGAATCAAAAACGAGCAAACAAGAACGCGCACGTGGGACAGGTAGAGGTAGCGTGCACGCAGGTGTAAAAGACAAAACATGATTGGCTGGTTTTTCCAGTAGGTCCAACCAGTTTTGTGAGTGGGCGGGCTTTCATTGGATTTCTACAGGCCGGATGAAAAAAAACAAACGGCCGTCTCTTCGCCTCACATTGAGCCAAAGTGTTCTATTAAAAGACAACATTGAACTGTCAATGCACACGGCGGGTTTAATTACTAAAAATGGCATTGGGAGGAGAGTTTAAAATGTATTATTTATGTGTTTTCGGTGAGTATATAAATCCCGGAAATGACGTTTTTTTAAATTGGAGTACCAATGTAGCATTGAAGGTAGCAGTAGAGCTAATCCGTAAGACATTCAAGTTCCCGTGAATGTAAATCCTTTAGGACATCGAAGGGTGGTGTAATAATAACGAAAACGAACTTATAAAGAAAACATCCACTTAACGTCACCTTTACCTTGTACATTTTTGATAGTGTACAAATTTGTGTAAGTAACCTTTGATACCCCCCGGTGGTCAAATGAATACTGTTTGATTGAAACGTCAATAATCATCGATGAAAACGCTTAATTATTTTTTTGTCTTTGTTTGATGTTGTTTTTCATTTGCTGAATACATACGTTTATGACCAAAAAATAAAACATTTAATGTGATAATAACTGAATCAAAAATTGAGGATATAAAATAACTCTCATCTCAATCATTAGCATCATTATTTTGGTCGGTCTGGTTATTTCATACTTAAAGTTCCATGGCTTCAGTCTGACACTCCCTTTCCCAAATGCAAATAAACCTGTGATCCCATGTTTAAATAAGGCAGTAGAAATATAAACTGGCCTGGTTTGAGCGTTTGCCAACATCAGGCCCACGTCTAAATTTGAATATCATTTAGTCTTGTTCACGTCCACACAAGATTGCATGTTTGAAATGTCTTCTGTTAAATGCATGTGGATGAAGTGAGTGCACGTCATTCCTTGTGTCTGCCTGTTGGTCACACATAGATGATGTTCTATTTGGTTTCAGCACAGACAGTGTGAAAATGAGATGAGCCAAATCCTGGTCGTTGTCTGACTAAACAGCAGCAGTTACAGACGTACATCTAAGCGACAAAGGTAAAGACCTGTTTAAAGTTATTTTTGGCCCTGATTTTGATACAGAATGAGATGTTTGAATGCAGCATCTGATACTAGGAATACAACACAGCAAAAAAAAAAAAAGAAGAAAGAAAAACAATCACGCCCCATTTCACATAATGCATCCTTATTCCAACAGACTCTACTCACAAGGGAGGAGATATTTACAGAAAGGCCGTCACTCTCTCATTAATTATTTCACCAAAAGTGTCCAAACTATTTAGCTCCAGCTCATTAAAATGACGCATCTGAGTGCTTTTAAGTCCCTCATGAAATCCTACTTTTGGTAGAAAGTTGCATATTTCCTTCAGTTCTCATTTGTTTCATACTTATATAGTAAAAGGCTTGGTGTTCACTCTTACCGTTGGTCTTGCCATTACCTTAAAAAGGACAAGAACCACGCTGGATCAGATCGGGGGAATGTACAATTAAAAACAAAAAAAAAATACCAGAGACGTTAAGGAGCTCCACACAGTCCTGGAGACTCCACGCAGCCAGTGGTGCAGCAGGTGGAATTGGCTCAAGGCAAGGCAGGCCACTCCTTGTTGAAAATCAGCAGTGATCCCAGAAGCAGACAGCTGCCTCTCAGCTGCAGCAGAGCTGATCTGACACCAGCAGGGTGTCGTAGCCGTAGACCTCCAACAGGTGGAGCAGAAAGAGCCGGTCCCCGTGAGGATCCAGACCCATGGCTCTCACGCTCTCCTGTGTCAGAGTGGGGTCGGGGCTTCCTGCCACTTCGCCCAGGGTCTGGAAGATTCGATTGTTCTGCTCCAAGAAGAACCTGAGGAAGTGGAGTTAGTCATTTAACAGATTTGATTATTTTCTACAGTCTACGAGTCTTAAATGTATTCATTCATCTTCTTCTGTATCCCTGTCAGGGTCACTGGGGCTCCAGCGATTCCCAGACATCGACGGGCGAGGGCAGGATAAACCCAAAAAATCAACCCAATTTTTCATGTCATATAATAATCACTTTAAGGAAAATTAATCAATCTCTGTTTAACCAATTTTATGACAACTGGTAGTAGGAAAAAGTGACAGGTTCTGGTACTTGCTTAACTTTCCATAGTCCTGAAGAGGCAGGAATTCGAACCCAAACCCGACCTGATTAGCAGCTAGGCTGGACCTGACTTGCCTGTTCCTGAGCCAAACACACCCCACCCGGGGTGCTGTTGGTCCTGTTCAACTGTGCCTGTGTACTTACAAAACAGGACTCTGTACAGCAGTACCATTCAGACATGACTGAGGCGGCCCCTGTGTGTTTTTAAGAAGCAGAGGCGGGAACAGGAACTGCGCACAACATGGGAATGTCATCAGGTGACGAGCCACCCAAACACACAAACACGGTCATGTGGAGCTGATAGTTTCAGTCAAGAGTTGTGGGAAAAAAAGGTCATGGGTTCGAGCTCAGAAGCTACGGTGATAAGTTTGTGACAAAAATACTGATTTTTGTTTTTTTTCCAAATGGTTGGACAGACGTGAGCTGTTCACTGGCCGTGGTAAATAAATGATGTACTCACAGAATAAACAGATCCTCCTCACTGGACACACAGTCGCCATTCTCCTCCTGTGAGTACAACAGAATCTGCCTGTACACACACACACACACACACACAGACTGTCATTAAAAGTGTTAAAGTAACAGTGGGGGTCTTTACTATTTTTTAAAAAACCTCAAACACAGCTGATATTGATTTGGTCTTTTCAGTGGCAGAGTACTCTCTGACTCATCTTCACATAGTACTGTCTACTTGGGTCAAATACAACCATGACTATGGAGTTTTACTGCCAACTCAGGTCCATTGAGTATATGAAGAATTCACTGTCATCCTGCTAATATTTATTTTTATCCCTACATTACAAAAAAACACCCAAAATGTTACTTGACACCGATGGTCGAAAATGAAACTTAATAGTTGACCCAGTGTCATGTTCTGAAAACCGATACAGGAATCCCTGTTTCCCTAAACGGACGTTTTTAGGCTCAACATTGTTAATTACAACACTGTAGTTCATTTCAGTACCTTCCAGTGGACTCACCACCCGCAGGAAGGTTTGGGGGGGTTGGTACGGTGCAATGTGATTTGGGTGGCGACTGCTGCCCCCGCGACCCGGTAACGGATAAGCGGATGAAAATGGATGGATGGATGGATAGTTCATTTCAATGGTCTGAAAATGTTATTTATTCACTGCAACTAATTTGAATTTGTTCATCTATGGGACAGTGACAGAACAACTACAACTACTACTGGGTGGCAGCAGATGGCTATAAAAGCTGAAAAACAGAGAGAATCAGATCTTCATGTATGTCTTTCTTCAATTCCTGCGAGTATATTAGTGATGTGTTCAACTAAACAGGACCAGGTTTCACACCGGTAAGTAAATTGAAACTATAAGATGATTATGTTTCATTACATATAATTTTTGTGACATTTTTATTTTGTAGGGTGTCATGGGATTTTTTAAAAGTATAACCAACCCTGTATAACTGTTTGTGGTCCTCATTATTGAGATCAGTTCTCCCTCTGGGTTTTTGTTAAAATAAATATAGTGGAAACAACACATTACTGCTTTTAATTGACTCCAGAGAAGACAAGAAAAGCAACAGAATAATAAGTAACTTGAATAATATGATTTTGTGTTTGTCATTAGGCAAAAAAAAAAAAGAAAACGCTGATAAAGTGGCTACGCTTGAAAAATAACCCACTGATTTAATTAAAAAAAGATAAATCAATGTAGTTGATTGATAATTCAAATAATTATTTAATTTCCAGGTGTTTGTGTAACAAACCTCTGCTCCGTAAGTTTCCGATACTTCTCCCGGTCTGCAGTGCTGAGGCGAAGCAGAGGCTTCAGACCGTCTCTGTAGGTTTTTACATTCTGATTGTCTACGTACACGTCGTACAGATCTTTCTTTTCTTCAAAGATCTTCTCAGTAGTGCCTGCACAAAAAACAAAAACACAGGACGTGTCAAATTCTGGATTCATTTTTTTTATGTGTTCTTCCAGCAGCCACTTACATGCTACATATGAGAGCTCATTCTCCAGGGCGCTGATGTCAGCCACATTGACATAGAAGAAGGGCCGAAACTCAGGCAGAGCAACGCTGACCCCAGGGAGGGAGATGTTGGCCAGGCAACAGCAGCAGTAGACTGAGAGGAGGAGGAGGAGGAGGAGGAGGAGGAGGGAGGAAGTAGACGAAGGACGCAGGAGTGTGGGAGAGGAGGAGGAGAAACAGGTGAGCTCTTTCATGAAGATGTACCTGGAAAAATGTGTGTGTGTGTGCACATACAGTACATAATGTATACTGTATACATGTCTGTGTGTATGTACTTGTTTCCCACCTCTGTAGCAGACCACACCCACAGGAGGAGGAGAGAAGATGAGGATACGTCTACGCAGCAGGGCCAGTTTCCAAAGCACCATGATCTGCTCACCAAAGAAGCGAATGAACTGGGACATACAGCCAGCCGGGTGTGTGATCTGGTCCACAGGTGTTCACAGAGAAGAGGGGGCAGTGAGTTAGTTAACCTGGGATTTAAATGTAAAAAAGAAAGTGGAAAAAGAGATGGCACGTTTGTTCCTACCTTCATCTCGGGGTGCATGCCGTTGTTCATTGCAGCCCCCCAGGCGATGGTAGGACACACATTAATAACTCCATCCCCACTGGGGGGCAGGAGAGCTCTCTTGTCCTCATAAAAGGCCTCCAGAGGAGAGTAGTGGCCCGGGTTGTGGAGTTGGAGCCTGAATTTGAAGAGAAACACTCAAAGGTCACACAAAAGTCTGCACAGTTTTTTTTTTTTTTTTTTTGAGCCACAGCACATATTTCACAAAAATCATCACAAAAATCCAACAGCAGGCAACCAAACAAAAATGTCACAAAAATAATACAAAATGAGATATAATTTATCTTCTGGTAAGAAGCCTAGTCCTGTTTAGTTGAATACAACACTATATATACTCACAGAAATTGAAGAAAGACACACACACTCCTTCAACCGGTCGGTAAATAAATAATAGTGAAATTCTGTCATCATCCACGACGTGATGAAGTGCCATGACACAGGGTTCGTGAATCACTTACTTGACGGACGTTTTTAGGAAATTAGGAAATCATTTTAAAGGAAAGTGAAAAGTGAAATATATAACGGTCAGTGTCAAAATGCCGAATCCTACAAATTATTTATAGCTTCTTTTCATCTGTTCAAATACCGTCTGAGAGAAAGGACGTTCAGGCAGTTGGCCAGTGGAGAGAAAGGAAACATGATGCATTACACTCACACTAAATAAAACATTAGATGCAGACACACAGTAATGCAATGCTAACGTGTGAAACGCTTGCCTGCCAAACGTGCAGTAATCTATGCAAAAAAAAAAATTAATTCATTCTGCAAATGATTCCTTGGTCATTGTAGCTGCTGTAGTTAAACTGTCGACATAAATCAACAGTATCCGGAGCGTGTATTTTATTTCCAAATGTGCTTCAACTCATCTGTAGTAAAGATACTGCACAGGATACAGGCTGGATCACTTTGACCTTTTCCTCCACCTGTAGGTCAGTCGTAGGAGAAACTAGCATCCAAAAAGCTGCATAGTATCGGAAAACTATTGTGGTTATACTGATTACTGTACAGATGAATTCCTTCAGCTGTAAATCGACGTCTCTACATCTTAATTACCTCTTTCCCAACAGATTGCGCCTTATGTAAGACACAGATCATTGCTACTTAAGAATCAGCAGAGCAGCATGAGCTGAGATGAGTAAGGTTGCTGCACTGGAGGCCAGAGAATCATGGGAAGCTGAGAGAACGGGAGAACTGTCCAAAATGAGATGGAACACTGGAGTACGCAGGCCAGGGTCAAAGGTCAGTGCAAATAAAAAAACACACACACAAGTCTCCTGGTTTTGGTCAGTGCTCATGTCAGCTGAGTTACAGACACCGGCTCCTCTTACCTGACCTGGTGCTCCAGGAAACTCATGTAGCGGTACAGCAGAGTGTAGGAAGGAGACAGAATGCCCACCGACTTCATCCTTGCCCCCCTTTCCACGGTGCTCTCCACCGCCATGTTGGCAAAGCAGGCCAGGCCGAAGTAGCAGCCTTTACGGAAGTAGCTGTGAGAAGAGAGAAGGCATGAGTCGAGAAAAACAAAGACCCTGCCAGATGGCGGTGCCAATTTTCTTTTTTTTTGCCTGGCAACATTATGTCATTTGGAAGATGACGTTTAGAAAAAAAACCCACACACAACACTCTGAGTAAGCTCCCTCTGCTTGATTTTTCAGACTTATTCTTACATGAAATCGGTGGTGACTCGGTGGGAGCCGCTGGCAATGGCTTTGAACTCCACTCCCTCCAGGTCCATGTCTTTGGGCAGACACCACTCAAGCATGTTTCCTGTCACACACACACACACACACATGAAAACATCAGTAATAAAACACACATACACACGCGACGTGAGGAGACAATTCCACTAACACCGGAAGTGTGTTTGCATCATTTCATGAAACTGCCCGCGCTGGGAGGCCATTATGTGTCAGTTGAGAGAGAGAGAGAGAGAGAGAGAGGCTAAAGTGGCAGCTGAGCAAATATGGTCTGATGGGAGCAGAGAGTGTGACTCAGCCTGTGTGCTGTTCAATCTTATCACCAGCTACAAGTATCAGAGCGTGGACTCACTGCAGAAATGTATCACGTTTTGGCTCCAGGTCTGTGCCTTCCACTGGCTCCATCAGTCACCTGCAGGTGAGCAGTTACTCTGACGGATCTGACAGCTGTGACTGACCTTAAGTATCACGCAGTATCAGTACTGAAGGTCTGTGCTTAACGGAAACAACGGAGTACAGAGTACAAGCCGCAACCCAATGCTAGGTTCCATAGCTGTCTTAAACTGTATCATGTAAAAATATACATATATATATAAATATATGTGTGTAATGACGTAAAATACTAGTAAATTGAGATTGTACATGCTCTGTATCATGTAAAAATATACATATATATAAATATGTGTGTAATGACATAAAATACTAGTAAATTCAGATTGTACATGCTCTTTTTTTTATCCAGTTAACTTCTTTGTAATGTCCTTGTTTGTCTCCTTCAGTTCTGTCACATTTTCTGCCCAAAACATTAAAAACTGGGTCATCACAAAACTGGTACAACCCATGGCATTGTGGCTTTGTGAGAAAAAATGTGACTTTATTTTTTTTTTTCTTCTGATTTTCAGATTCTACAAACCCTATTCTGGTGTCTGATGACCCAAAAAACTGGACTTTGAGCAGCTTCGGAAAATGAACTAAAGAGCGACGTTGACCGTGTGGCTTTTATAACCAGGTAACAGGTAACAGCACCAGTGATAGTCTGCCAGTGACAACTATGACATTATTTTAACTTGACTTGTTCTGTCGTTTCTCCTTCTCTGCAGATATTTACCGCCTCAGACTGTTTTCATTGATGATAATAACAATTAGCAGAAACACAGACTGCACTGCACAGCTTTTGACCAGGCACTTAAAGAAACTCATAAATATGACCAGATCACGGCTCCGGCTTTTGTGTGTCAGACCTGCAGTCTGTAAAATGATGAAGAGCCCAGCTCCACCCTGCAGGAACCTCCCGTGTAATCTAGGCAGCTTCTTGACTCCGTATGTTTGGAGAAACACGATTGGCTACAGTTTCACAGGGGGCTCATCCAGTCTTTAAAATGCCCCTCGTTAAAAATTAAAGAGCTGCGCCGCAGAAACCAGCTGATTGAGTCGCATCCCTAACCTCGGCCTGACATTTTTACACGCCAGCTCATCTAGTGATGCTACAGTGGAGGCATGGCTTTTAATCATGACTGTAAACCTGTCTTCAACGGGGGGTTCATGACCCTTAGGGGGGCCCTGCGTATGTACTGCAAGGGCGTTGGAAATGTTTTGGTTGATTAAACGATTAAAAAAACATTTCTTTAATATTTTGCCAGTTAAAATATTAACATTAATGTACGACCATGTGTTTGCATAGCTTAGTATGAAATGTAAAAAATCGGTCGCCCTATTGAATATAAAATATAACATATACTGTCATAGCTTAGTATGAAATGTAAAAAATCAGTCGCCCTATTGCATATAAAATATAACATATACTGTATATTATAATATATATATAACATTTTTCACTATTTAGTATATGTATATATAGTAGGGGTCTGTGTTTCATCTCGGTTTGAGGGTCAGTGGTCTGAAAGGTCAGGAGAAGCCACACCTGTAGAGGACTGGCTCTGCAGACGTGCATCACGTAAGGCCTCGTGCACAGAAAACATGTTGAATTTAAATATGAATTCTATTCTTCTCTTCCTCCTTTTTTAACTCGTAAACTCATTCTTACATACAAGAACACCGTGAATGCCCTGAAATACGTTAACACTTGGTGCAAATGCGTTCTGTGACAAGTACTTAACAAATACGTGCCCCACCTGATCTTGTGTTAAACGTCACAACAAAAACCGACACAATCTGGTCCCTTTCTTCCCATTTCACCATTCTGTCTTCCGACGACAACTCCCTGCTCCCCGAATCCGGCTGATACTCCTGCTTATGCGGACGCAGCCCTTCGTCTGTGTCCACCGGGTTGATGGAGGTCGTGGGCGGGGTGCTGCAGCCGTCTGAGCCGGAGACAGACCTGGAGGGAATGGGACCTCCTGGACCGCTGCTGCTCCACCCAAACACCGGCGCGGAGCATCCTGAGGTGGCACGGCCGTTGGAGGGGCTCGACAGTCGGTCTTTGGCGTGAGCTGCTGCCGCCGCCGGTGGTGCAGCAGCAGCTGCTGCACTCTCATCGTTCTTCTCCGCGGACGGAACCTCCTCCCAGTCCAGCAAAGGAGCTCGATCTGACCGCTCCACCATCCTGTCAGCCGGCGGTCCCGCCTCGTCTCACAGTCTCGCCGCGGTTTGTTAATGATGTCTCAGCCGACGGGCACCAGGATCCATCCGTGGATAACCTCCGGAATCTCAAAACAGTTCCCGCATTGTCCTAAACTGTGAAAAACATTTGTACCGAATTTCGTTCTTTAGAATAGGCTTGAAATCCTCCCAGTCTGGTGTGATCATAAATTTGGTGCTGCTCAGAGGACGGTCCTTCGTCTAATGCGAGTTGCATTCAAAGCTGCTCCAGCAGCCGCTGTCGCTGTCCCTTCACTACCAGAAGCTGTGGAACGTCTGAGAACACAGTTACGTTTCGTCTTCTTGAATGCGCCCTGCGCCACAGCGTTGTGGTGAACAGCGTCTCACTACGCGTAGTTTTGAGAGAAAATATTAACAATTCTGTAGCAAATCACATCGGTACTACTCTAGACATCACCACTAAGTTCTATTTCAGTATTCAAAATGTAGGTTTTAAGGAATTATTGCACAATTAAATCACACAATCTGCGTTTTGAACGTTCCGAAACATGCTGCGTTCATGTACTATCGGAATTTAGAAGTATTTGTTGCTGTAGTTCACTATACTACTACATTATCATTAAAAGACATCCAAGCATGTCCCTCGTACAATTGCTATTTCGACCTTCGACCTACTCTATAAAGCATGAAACAGTTTAATTTACTTAAAGTCTACTCTTACGACCAAAAGTCTTTTGACTAATACTAACAATAAGGTTAGTTTAATTTACCGTTTAAACCTATATGTAAATTACGCGCTAAAATGTCTCACATTAAGTAAATCTCACATTAGGAAACTAATCAAGCTTTTAGGTCGAATGTCTCTTTAATATAAATTCAATGTTACCGACACCCGAGGCCTCAGACTATTTGTGGTAGATTTAACATAACAGCAATGTTCGATTAAAAACATGGTTAGATGAGTTTTACAAATAATATAATATTATATAAGGAATCAATTCGCTCTTCGTCTCACGTTTAATCTCCGACGTCAATACGAATAATTTGTAATTCCGATAGTTAGTGAAGGCAGCACAAATCCAAGCGAGTTTTGATGACGCCATTCAGCGACACGTCACCCATACGGAAGAAGAACTTGTCAGTTGGGCAGAGGGTCCGAGCTGATCACGCTCTATCTACATTTTTGCGAACGACAGCACAGTCCTGACAATATGGGTAAGTGTGGGGATTTGTAGTGCATACAGTTGTCTTGTAATTTTCCATCTGTATCGGCAATCTGCATGTGTACAGACAGAAACATTTACCGGCAAAAGCCCGTGATTTTCAGTTGAGTGGATGCACTATTTTCTGGCTAAGCTAAACTCGGCTAACTCGCCTATTCAGACAAGTGGAAATCGTAATTATTTGTAAACTTGTAGATTTAGGATTTATACAGTAAGATTTAGATACTGTAAAATCGTTCATGCTTAGGATACGTCAGAAAGTTTACAGTTACATACAACTAGTAACCAAGATAAACCTCATCCCGGTCCATCATCAATGAAAACGGAAGAAGATCAACTGTCAAATATCCGACCGTAAGAAGAAGTTATATTTTCAGTGCCGTCAACACTAACCAAGACCAGCATTTGTCAGATATAAAAACGATCATTAATTAAAAATGTTGTCTTTTAACTGTTATGCTTTTTTCCAGGTATGTGGTTTTCTAGTCTCTTCTCAGGCCTTTTTGGCTCCAGGGAAATGAGGATTTTGATCCTTGGTTTGGACGGCGCAGGAAAAACCACCATCCTGTACAGACTACAGGTTGGAGAAGTGGTCACTACAATACCCAGTAAGTGCAACCTCATTTTATTGTCTCATTTATTGTTTCTGTCCTTTTCTCTCATCCACATTATTCCTGACAGTTGATGCTTTTTTTCTTCATTATTATGTTGTGTAGTTGAAATATTTACCTTATGGCAATGACATGTGAATTTGCATGCTGTGCCAAACAAAGACGAATTCCAGTCCCGTCGACATTCCTCTATGACACTTGACCCTGATGCCTGTAAGACAAGTTTTACCAGGTCTATTTAAACATATTCAATGACTCCTAATGGAGAGTCATATTTTCTCTTGTTGTCACACCTCAGCTCATCACAACCAAAGTTATGTTGCTGTGAAAGGGCGTTATATAAACAATGAGTACAATTAATACCTGGTAATACTTGTTTCACAAAGTCAGTCTATTGAGTCAGAAGTCAGGGAACGTTTAGGTTTTCATTTTGCTATGGGATGTAAGTTAAACCTATAGAAAGGAGGTAATTTAAGCCTCTCTTACAAAAGGAGGTAATTCAAACTCAAAAGTAACTTGTGGTATTTTCTACATCTTCCATCACAGTTATGTCTGAAGAATAAATTGAGAGCATAGTGTCTCTCAGCTTCTTATTTCACAGGAATGTTTACAGATTAATTTATTCAGTTACTCATGCATGTTGTCAAATGTATTTGACTTTGTTCAGTTCCGCCACATTGTCTGAAAGGATGTAAGATTGATGTATTTATCGCTTGTAGACAAATTGAAAATTTGAGGTCGTTTTGTAAATGAAAATTTTCCATTTTTTTATGTGTCAAATTTAATCAAGAAATTACAGTTCTGTTTACAACAACAAGAAGAAATACTTTAACACCACATCTGAGTGCATTAAAATGCTATGGTTGTGAGTGCACGTTTAAATCTCCACCTAAGTACTACTTTATATGTAATTGCCTTTTAATTAGCTGTTATTATTCTTCTTTTCAAAATGTTGTAACAGTTCATACACAATGATTAATTGTTGATTAAAATTTCTAATAGAAGCGGCTCTGGAGTCGGGTCAATATCTGAACTTTAGCTTCTAGAGGTCAGAGTGGAGAAAGTGAAGTCAGAATAAGCTGTTTAAATAAAACAGGTTAGGTTAGTGGAAACAAGTGTCTCAAAATATTTGTTCATATAATGGCCGGAGTAATGAAGGAAGGAAGGAAGGAAGGAAGGAAGGAAGGAAGGAAGTAAAGTGAACTGCTTGTCATTGTGACACAGCACACCGCTGAACACATAATTATTTTTTTTTAAATGTTATCTAAATGCCCTAATTTTATGAGAAACATGCAGGAAAAGATACATTTTTGAAAAATAATTTTACAAAAATGTTCAGTTATTTTTAGTTTTTGACCAAAAATTACATGATAAATTCACATTTTGACCAAAAGTTTTATCAAAAAATTTTTTCTAAAAAAGTTCTCTTGATACCCTAATTTTATGAGAAACATGCAAGAAAAGATGCAATTAAAAAAAATGTTTTGAAAAGATAACATTTTTAAAAATAATTGACAAACTTTTTTTGTCAAACCTTTTTAGTTTTTGACCGGATATTAGACAAAAAGTTCACATTTTGACAGAAATACATTTTATCAAAATTCTATATTTTTTGTTTTAAATTTTTTTCTGAGAAAAAAAATTGTAAACATTTCTCAAAAAATGTCTTTTCTAAAAATAAAAAAAAACTTTTTTTAATTTTCCAAAAATTATATACATTTTTTCAAAAAGAAATTCTAAACTTGTTTCAAAAGAGACATTTTCTAAACATTTAAAAAAAAAAAAACTTTTTTTAATTTTTCCAAATTTTTTTCAAAACGCGATTTTTCCTAAAAATTTCTTACATTTTTAAAAAAAGATTTTTTTCAAAAACATTGAAAAAAAAATTTTGGTTTAAATTTTTTTTCTCAGACATTTTTGAAAAATAATTTTACAAACATTTTTCATCAATTTGTTTTTAGTTTTTGACCAAAAATGACACAAAAAGTTCAGATTGTGACATAAAACGTTGTACAAAAAAAATTCTAAAAAAGTTCTCTAAATGCCCTAATCGTTTGAGTAACCTACAGGAAAAAATAACATTTTGAAAAATAATTTTACAAAAATTTTCGTCCATTTTTTTGTTTTTGACCAAAAATTACGACATGTTCATGTTTTGACAGAAAGTTTTATTTAAAAAAAAAATGCAAAAAATGTTTCATAAATTCCTAATTTCATGAGAAACATGCAAGAAAAAATAACATTTTTGAAAAATAATTTTACAAACATTTTTCATCAATTTGTTTTTAGTTTTTGACCAAAAATGACACAAAAAGTTCAGATTGTGACATAAAACGTTGTACAAAAAAAATTCTAAAAAAGTTCTCTAAATGCCCTAATCGTTTGAGTAACCTACAGGAAAAAATAACATTTTGAAAAATAATTTTACAAAAATTTTCGTCCATTTTTTTGTTTTTGACCAAAAATTACGACATGTTCATGTTTTGACAGAAAGTTTTATTTAAAAAAAAAATGCAAAAAATGTTTCATAAATTCCTAATTTCATGAGAAACATGCAAGAAAAAATAACATTTTTGAAAAATAATTTTACAAACATTTTTCATCAATTTGTTTTTAGTTTTTGACCAAAAATGACACAAAAAGTTCAAATTGTGGCATAAAACTTTATATAAAAAAAATTCTAAAAAAGTTCTCTATTAGCCCTAATTTTGTGAGAATGCAGGAAAAGATAACATTTTAAAAAATAATTTTACAATCATTTTTGTCAAGATGTTTTAGTTTTTGACCAAAAATGACACGAAAAGTTCACATTTTGACAGAAATTTTTAAATGAGAAATTTCTAAAAATGTTTTATATTTGCCCTAATTTTTTGAAAAAAATGCAATAACAGATAAAATTTTTGATAAGATTTTCGTCAATTTTTTTTTGTTTTTCACCCAAAATGACATGAAAAGTTCACATTTTGACAGAATATTTGTTACAGAAAAATTTCAAAAAATGTGCTATAAATGCCCTAATTTTCTGAGAATCATGCAGGAAAAGATACAATTTTTAAGAATAATTTTACAAACATTTTCATCAAGATTTTCTAGTTTATAACCAAAAATGACACAATAAGTTCACATTTTGA